GCAACGCAAACCCCCCCCCACTGCATGAGTGCAGCCCCCCAACCACGCGTCCCCCAACCACGCCCCCCCCAACCACGCGCCCCTCCACTGCATGCACGCGCAAACCAGCCCCCATTGCACGCACACACCCCTCCGCCGCATGCGTGCAGCCCCTCCACCGCGCGCAGCTGCCTCCATCGGTTCGTGCAGCCCCCACGCGCGCCCATCCGCCCCTCGACCGTGTTCCCACGCCCCCCCCAATATTTATTATAAATCTACACAAAGATTTATTTATTGGTTAGACCTTTTTTTAAAAAACGAACAAAGACGTATCACAAACACTGATAACACGTGCTTTTCAAATTACAAATTAAACCCAGGGATGTGAGCTGACTGCAGGGTGCAGTGAGTTAGTAAATATTTCCCTCTCATCTCAGGATTAAATTCAACCCATCTTATACTAAGAGTCAGCTGCAATAACCAAGGAGTCAAAATAATGAGCTTGGGTAGTCTCGGCACAGTTGCATTGTACAAAACGGCCTGTAATTGTGTACCAATAGTCACTAAATCAGCATTGTGACTTGATCTGATAAATAGAATGGCCATAATGGTGCAGTAGGGGGTACTCTGTTGAGGTTAAGTATATAGTGACTTATGTGCTGTTTACTTAAAATTGGGGTCAAGAAAAAAAGAATATTGAAACCATCAAACTTTCTCCTGCCTCAGATCATTAATAATATGTCCCCATCACAAGCTTTAATCCACTTAACTGATTAAAAAATGTGACTAACCAGTGTGGAAACGTTCAAGATAAACATTGTTAAGTTCCTCCATAGTCAAAGTCAACGATATCAATACAACGTTAACTACCCAAAACTATTTAACTCTGACAAAATGTCTTCCACATTTCCATGGCAACAGCAGCACAGAACAGTGCAGGTTTTCCTGAATACTTCCCTTTTACCAAGACACCTCTTCCACCTCCAGAACACCCGCTTGTGCCACTACCTCAGCCCCACTGCTTGTAAACCCTTATCCATGCTTTCAGAATCTTGAGGTATGTATACTTCCAGCCTGCCCAGCAACTTCAATTAATCAAGATGACTTCTTTTACACAACAGGCATACCCATCGCCTTCTTCCTTACCAAGCTCCAATGGCTCCCAGTAGCTCAGAAGATTGAAGTTAAGATCCTAATAATAATAATCCTTGCACTTGATATAGCGCTTTTCAAGTCGGGAGGACGTCCCCCAAAGCGCTTCACAGAACACACTGTGAAGTAAATTGACTGTATATTTGTGGGCGAACGCGGCAGCCAATTGCGCACAGCAAACAGTCATAGATTGAAAATGACCAATTTATTATTGTTTTTGGTTTTTTGGAGGGATTATTATTAGGCTCTGTGTGGAGTAAGAAAACTTGCCCAAGGTTTTGCCCTGCCTGGAATTGAACTTGCAAAGCGAGTGCTCTAACCACTGAGCTACAGGACTCAACGTCCTGAACTTCATACCACTGTATGATCATGTAATCTCCTCCTGCCCCATATCAGCCCGTGCTTCCTGCTCCTAAAACATTAGTCCACTGCTCAAACGTCACTCATTCAGTTCCACCATCAGTTTTGAGTCACATTCCCTCAGTCTTCTAGAACTCTTGCAAAACCACTTCATCTTCTTCTCCCCCTGCCTTCAAAATTTTTCTTCAAATATCTCTCTCCAACTGTGCCTTCGCTCAAAATCTCTTATGCACCTGCATGGTGTCCACCACTACATTTGTGGAGCGTTTTTAGGCATCCTTTTAGTGAAAAATGCAAATATCAAAATATTAATCCAAATTGTCTTTGTGGATCTGTAATGATATTAAATTGATACCGTCTAGTTACCGACTCACCAACCGGTGGAAATAGTTTCTCTCCATTTACCTAAGAGCGCAGATGTAAATTAAGTTGCGTCAGAGGCAGCACTTTCATCCCATGCCTTGAACGGCAGCAATAACACAAAGAAGCAGGAGAAGTGGCCATAAAACAGAAATGCTCATGGTCTGAAGCATGCCCATCTTCATGTCAGCCAATGATGTGGTTTCTCCATCATTGATCTTTCACCCCAGCTGCCATCGGTCAAGCCAGATCTGGGATAATAATAAATCTTGAATGCATTATGGTGCCTTATCATGTCTTCGAGACGTCTCAAAGCGCTTCACAGAATATACTATAAAGTGAATTGACTATATATTTTGTGGACGAAATGCAGCAACCAATTACGCACAGCAGTGTGCCACAAACAATCGTGGATTGAGTGACCAAATTATTATTCATTTAGTTATTTTTTTAAAAGGCATTATTACCCCCAGAAAAGTGATCCACCAATCGACTAACAACCAGGTTGCTACTTGCTGTTAGGTAAACAGAGGCGTGTGGAGTAAGGAAACTTGCTGAACGTTTCGTCCTGCCCGGGAATCGAACTTAGGTCCTCTCGCTTGTAAGGCAAGTCCTCTAACCACTGAGCTACAGGGATGGCAGCTGTTCCTGATATTGTCACAGCGTTTGATCAGATTAATGAGTTAGAAGGCTGGAAAAGGGTAAGGAATGGTTGGCCAAAAGCAACAGCTTGTAAACTGCTGATGTGGTGTCTAGCAGATCAACTTGAAGATGACACCAAAACCATATAAAAGCCTAAACGTGGGATGCTCTCCAAAGTTTAACACAGCTGAGATAACCAATTACAGTTGCTACCCCCATCAACTACTCAGCTACCAAAATCAAAGACTGAGCTAAATGAAAGCCAATTAGTACACCTTCAGCGATATGCACATTACTTTTAAACTATGATTTTTTTTCATACCATATTTAACTTAGTAGCAAATACACTGGCCATTAATTACATAGATAGAAGCAATGTGGAATTGAAAGTGAAATTGATAATATGAATATAAGACAAGCTATAAGCTACAAGCTTTCCAAATCTGTAAGTCAGTTTAGTACATTGTTTTGCCCACAAAATACAATCAAATCACTTTATAGTATATCCTGTGAAACCTTTGAAATGTATCAACGAAGCGATAAGGCTTACTATTACCTTTTTTAAACGTCTACTGCACAACATTGGGAGCCACTTCTTAAATGTGATATACAACACAATTTGCTTTAACTGGTGCATAGGTTGGACGGTGTTGCACTAAAGAGATAAAAAATATGTAGTCATTAATCCACTGACGTGCGTGCCATTCCCAGTGGACACTTGCCACCCTGCAAGGAACAAGGGAACGTAAGAGCTTAGAGAAACCTGTTGTTAAGTGTCCAGAAGTGAAGGCGCAGCAGAATAGCCCATTTACCTTCACAATAAAAGTTGATTATAAAAGCCTTGTTAGGAAATCAATTTGGTCATTTCATTTTCGTGCATATTGAAACTTTCTAAAGCAAAAGTCCACCATCATGGCTGCAGAGCAAATACAGCAGCAGAGAATCCAAATCAGCCTCATTATATACATGTGGTGTGCAAACTTCAGCTGTGATACCAGTGCTCAGTATGCAATGGATGGCTTGATGCTGACACACACTTAATTCATATCAAATTCAAAACTAAATGGTTGTGCATTCTTCCAACTCTCAAAAAGGCTTTTCATTTGTAACACTCACCATACAAATCCTTAAAACAGCAACGCCACACCAAATAGAGTAGACAGTAAGCGGGACCCACTTTAGCATTGTCTTAAATTGGATGCTCTTTCTTTAAAAGCAGAACTTTATAAAATCTGCAGTATAATTTAGACAGAAACATTATGAGAAGTTATTCCTCCCCTCCTGAAAGCATTCTTAACTCCTTTACTCTACTCCCGGGGTATTGCTTCACACCTCCAATCCCTTTGCCTCATTGCCACATGTCTTGTGCAGTCCCTGATAGTTGAATGTTATATGTCTTACCCACCACACATATCATCGGTCTTTGGATGCTGTTGGAAGCCCAAACTGATTTTTCACGTGTATAACTTAATCTAAGGGTGCTGAAGCCACAGAGAACCACAACCAGTAAATCTTCCGAGATTAGCTAACTCTGCAATGCTCAGATTTCAACCGAGTCTAGGTGTGCTAGGGCTGAAAATTGGCAGAACATTTCTCCATACTATAAACGTTATGGGGGCCTTTTTTTGGAGGCATTCTTAAGAAAAGCACCTGTAAACGCCGCTGAAACATGCCTCAGTGAGTTAATAAATGTGAACAGTTTTATAGATAAGACTAGGTGAAATTTTGGGCATCCAAGAAATCTGTTCATTCCGAGCAGTTGTACGCTTATTAAATCCCTAGCACTTTGTGCAATTCAGTCACAACACTGATGTAGTTATAAACAGAAACACAATCAAAATATCAAGTAATCCATGTCTTTCTGCTCCTGGGGCCTCAAAAATGCAGTTTCTGCACAGCCCTAACGACTGTTATTGCCGGGCCGCGACGTGATCTCGATTCTGTAAAGTCTTCAGGCCAGAGATTTTTGCCACTGTTCATGAACACCTGCAGATAGCAACCTCACAAAATAAGAGATACCTGGGAGTTTACTACAAAGCCTTTCATCTAAATCAAGTGGATCAGATATGGTCATAACCATGACAGAAAACTTCAAGCAGTTTACTACGCTTATCTGAACAAAGATTATACTGCAGCCTTAATCCATTCAGAATACATGCATTGTAGGTTTGTTAAGTAATCTTTTATAATTTACCCCTTCTTTTTGATGAGGGACAATATAATCACAAGGCTGTGACATGTACCATCTTCAGAATCAGCAAGGTTACACACAAAAGGCATTTTGGACGAAAAACATCAAAATCAGGAACATTTTGTGACTCAAATGTCTCAGAAAAGCAGATGGGGTGAAAGAGTATAAGCAGTTATTTCAGGCAGTGACCAACTGATCTGCTGGAAGAATATACAAGAGGAAGTGTTCACTTGTTGGGCACCAATTGATCTGGTGTTGTACATGATGACAAGTACTGCAAGAAAGTAAATGGAGAAAAAGTTACTGGAAAGCTCACCTGACTTCTGTCCTTGTCTACCTTCTTGAAACATTTATTCAATGACAGATTATGTCTAACAGAGTTTTTCCAGCCAGTAGGAGCATTGGCAAAGTATGGGAAATGTTCTAGGATCCAGTTATAGATATCCTTGACTGGCAGGCGTTTGCTGGGTGAGTCCTCAATGGCCATAAATATGAGGCAGCTGAATGAGTAGGGAGGTTTGCAGTTTGGGTTCTGCTTGGCATCATAGGGCTGGTCAGAATGAGCAGGGGAGGGGGGTGTATCCTCATCGACATCCTGAACAGGGCTGACGCTCCGTAACACCGTGTCCCCAAAGCTTTTGAGCAGGTTCTTGCTTTCGTGCAACCAGTTCAGGTTTGTCAGCTCCTCGTCCTCCACGTTGGCTTTGTCTGCACGGCCAGCAGGTAAGCAACTGCTCGTCAAGTCCATTTCCTCGGCTTCTTGCAACTCCTTGGTTAGTGTGTTCCCCGGGTAACACTGGCTCAGTCCGCTTGACACACTAATACCCGAGCCTTCGGGCTTCTTGCTGGGAGGCATGACTGGACCCATTTAGACCAAGGTTCCTCCTATTGAAAGACAAAACCAAGAGAGGAAAAAGTTAGGCCAAGTAACAGTCAGTGAGTGGACCGATTCCCCTTCTCTTTCTCTTTTACGCCAGTGAACTAAAGCAACTTTGGCTACAAAAGGAACCTCAAGTCCCCTGAGCCTCTAAGGAGGAAAATTATATCATGGCTGACAGTAATTTAATTGCACTGTTGCTATTAGCAACATGTAGCTCTGTTTGTGCCTAATTTGCTTATTGCCAGTTCAGTCCCACAGGGATTTAACTAACACTGTGGCTGCTCAATTTTCTTTAAACTTTGTAACCAACTGCAAAAGAGCAGGCTTCCCGTAACCTCGATTCCAAATCCTGCAGCCAGAAATAAAGAGAAAACTACTTGAAACTGTAGCAAAAAAAGTAATTGTTTCAAATAATTTTATATAGTGGAGATACAATCGTTAATGAGAATTCAATGTGAAATAAAAAAGGGGATTTGTGGGCAGAGAGGATTCTGTATTATTTCAGATGTATTTTGTTTACAAGGAATCTTTATATATATACACACACATACATATGCATATACACACACAAACATAAGCGCTGTAGAAAATAACTTGTTCTTGAATAAAAAGCATAATTCTGAATACACCTCCTAATTTTCTGAAATGTCCCCACCCTATACAGCGCAAGCTGACTCTCTCTTGAATGCTCCATTCAAAACCATACCTAACAAACACTTGAAAGCCCAAAGCAAAAGGACACATGGCCAAAAGGGATGAACCACTGACCGGATGATCTGCCCCAGAAGTAGCCGTACAAGTTTTACAGAACAAAGCAACAGAAGCAATGTATATTACTGCAGAACAAACCTGGGATCTATTCAATGGAGCGAGTCAAAATTGGGGAAAGACTTGCAACTAAGATAAGGTGTCTTACAAAAATTCGCACACACCTTCGAGCCCTTTTTGCTGGAATGTTACAGAGAGTGTAACTGGTATGAACCAGAGTTTAATTACACACAATGCTGCAATGGACATGTTCAGATAGAGATATTCATAGAGAACATAGTTTTAAACACACAATTTCTGGAACGTAGGTCAAACCTAGATATTGTGAAGCATTCTCAAAAGCCATCACTTCTAATGTTCACTTTCAAGTAAACCAGTTAGTGTTAGGAGAGATTGTGCTGTGTACTTTAGATGCTATACTTAAAACTTATCAGTCCATCGGGAGATCTGGACATTATCAAATCTTACTGCTCCGCCCTCGCCTCTGTGAAATCGTCATTCTATTTCAAGACAATCTTGGAGGCCAAGTTCAACCCCAGGCTCCTCTTTTCCATAACCAACCGGCTGCGCCACCCACCCTTTCACGTCTTGCCCATCTTCACTTCAAATGCCAACTGCAAGGCGATGCTGGACTTCCTCGAATCCAAATTCAAGGGGATCCGCTCAGCTGCCTCTGCCATTCCGTCTGCTACACCCTCCCCATCTCCTGCTCCACCCCAGCCTCTATCCATCCCTCCCTCCACACCTTCGAACCTGTCTTCCACTCCTCTCTCACCACCATTATAACACGCATGAAACTGACCACCTGCTCCCTCGACCCATCCCTACCCCTCTCCTTGGGGTCTTGTTTGATCCTTAACTATCCTTTCTACCCCACATCTGTACCATGAATCGCTCTGCCTTCCCCCACCTCCACAACATCGCTCAGCTCCGCCACTGTGTCACACCACAGGCCACCAAAACCCTCATATACTCTTTCATTAAATAGAGGCTTGACTATGCAAACTCCTTGCTTATTGGCCTCCCCAACTCCTTCCTCCATAGGCTGCAGATCATCCAGAACTCCTATCCGGCACCAGGCACCGTGACCCTATCACCCCCATCCTCGCCCGACTCCACTGGCTTCCCATTTCACAGAGGTGACAGTTCAAGATCCTGGTCCTCACCTTCAAAGCCCTCCATGGTCTTGCTCCCCCCTACCTCTGCGATCCCCTAATCTCCTACCATCCTGTTCACTCCCTCCACTCAGCGGGCTCCAGCCTGTTTCATGTCCCCTGCCTCACTTGCCCCACTATTGGCTGGAGGCCCTTCTGCCACTCTGCCCCCCCCCTCCACCCCTCCCCTTCCTTTAGAATTCCATCTCGCAGTCCCTCCATCTCGGCCCTCCCTTGCCTCCTTCAAGACCATCTCAATACTCTCCTCTTTGATCGTGCCCTCCACCCTCCCTGATCCCAACCCGCAGCTCGGGTCCGAAACTCTGACTTTCCAGCAGCTTGGGATGTCCTCCCGACGTGAAAGGCACTATACAAATGTAATTTTGTTGCTGTTGTATAGGTCCAGAGATCAAATCAAACCCTCTTCCAACAAAACACATTTTTAGAAAAATGTAATTCAAATTATAAGGGTGTATTCAAGTATTAAAATGAACTCTACAGACACTGGGGTACTTGGGTATGTTTAAGAATACAGATTCTATAGTATTCAAGATACATTATAACGAATTATACTGTAGCACTAATTTAGGATAGCGTAACATTTTTAAAAATAACACTCTTATTAGGCCAACAACACCAATGTCTCAAAACACATTATAATAATTACAATCAAGTGTATGTAACCGCTGTAACTAATTTGCACACAGAGATCTTTCCAACAACCATGAGATGAATGGCCAATTAATCAGGAGGAATATTGGCCAGGACATGAGGAGAAACTCCCTCCTCCTTTTGAATAGTGCCACAAGGTTTTCAAAATAAAAAATCCGCCTGAACAGAGACAGGATCTCAGTCTAATTCTCATCTGAAGGATAGAACTTCTGATAACAGATGCCTCCCCCCCAGTGCTGAGTCTGGATGTCATCCTAAGACCGTCAGTGCAAGTGCAGATCTGAAATTTGAACTCACAGTCTTTAGGCCGAGAAGCAAGAGTGCTATCAACTGAGCCAACAACAACTTGCGTCTATAGAGCTCCCCTCAAGCAGGATAGCGTCCCAGTGCGCTTGACAGTGGCGGAGCCGAGCCAGGGGGAGGTGACCATATTTATAACCAGGCTGACAGCATTTATAATGTATAATGGGGGGGGGGGGGCGATGTGTGGAAGAGTATGTAGATTGACTGCACAATGTGCCAAGAGCCAGGAACAATGTAGCACATTCAATTTGGAAGGTAATGAATACTATTGAATTTGAGCTGAAGTTGTTTTAACTTTCAAAATAAACAGCACTTTTCAACTTAAAAAGGAAAGCCACAAAAAGAGTTTGAGATATTTTTGGTAAACTGTCGATTTCCAACATTTCCACAATCCCTTGCTTCGAGTGTTTACAATGTTTTGGAAAGATATACACAAACTAATAGATGCATGTTAGAAGCGGTAAAGCAACTTGTTTGATCTATTTTCCTTAATCGTTTCCAGTGCTTATACCGCTTACATAAAAACTTAAACGTTGGCAAATGAGAAGTGTACCAGCCACAGCTGGGTGCTAAAGAGCCCGACTATTGTGTAACAGATCTGTCATCCAAAAGGAATTCCCTCCGCTGTAGTTCGAAACTGAATTCCGTTTACCGTAGCCCCACACATCAAGTGAGATGAATTAAAAAAGAGGTTAGACTGGTAACATCCCCTTGTCTAACTATAATAATAATCCTTGCTTTTGATATAGCACACTATCACATCTTCAAGACGTCTCAAAGCGCTTCATAGAATATACTGTCAAGTGAATTGACTATATTTTGTGGGCAAAACGCGGCAGCCATTTGCGCACAGCAATGTCCCACCATCAGTCATGACTGATTGACCAAATTATTATTTTTTTTTTGAAGGGATTATTACCCCCGGAAAAGCGATCCACCAATCAACTAACAACCGGGTTCCTATTTACTGCTAGGCAAACAGAGGCGTGTGGAGTAAGGAAACTTGCCTAAAGTTGAGCCCTGTCCGGGAATCCAAACCAGGTCCTCTCGCTTGTGAGGCGAATGCTCTAACCACTGAGCTACAGGGCTAACTATGAATCCACATTTTAAAAAAAGTTGCAAGTCCTGCAAGTGATTTCACTCCTGATGCAAGACACCAAATAAATCTGGCTTTCACTGATATAGTAACAATGCCAAGCAAACTACAATATCAAGTGTCCAAAACAGTACAACGTCTATATATAAACAAGACTCTCAATGCACAGAAAGCAAATGAGAATATGTTTCTTAAACCACTGCTGCAAAAAATATATATTGTTTTGCAGTTGGTTTGTCTGGACTAGAAGTTATCATGCTTCAATTCTGTGAAAATTAAATGATTTAAATTTTTTTTAAAAATAACCATTTGAATATGCCGTCTCATAACAGTTAGCTACGAACGGCTGAAATAATTAAACTTTTGCACATTTTAATGCACAAACCATTTGCTTTGTCTCGTAAAGTGCTTCAATTAGAAATGGTTCCATGCAGTGTGCACCCAGGCAGCTCCAGGGATGGTGTGTTAGAATCTCAGCGAACTCAGTATTTCAGCTAATTTATTATCATTCAAGATGTCATCCCTGACTAGGCGAGAAAGTAGGACTGAGCCAGGCCACTAAGGGCAGGTATGGTCCTCACAATCCAATCACGGATGGAGTTTCCATAAATGGTTCAAACATTCTCACACCAACAATTAGATAATTATTTGCGTAGATAATTATATGGGAAGGACAATGTGCAGGGCTATGGGGGAAAGAGTGGGGGAGTGGGATTGATTTGGATAGCTCTTTTCAAAGAGCCAGCACAGACATGATAGGCTGAATAGCCTCCTTCTGCGCTGTATAATTCTATGATTCTAACTGCATGAAACATGGATGCAACCAAAAAAAAACGTTGCTTCATTAATGTAGGGGGCAAAAAAAATTCAGTATGTTTGAAACTCGTCAGCTATACAAATGGTCACGAACATTTATAATCTCTCAGCAACTCTGTTGTTGCACTTTCAGCACTATAAAGTAAGCTGCATGTGTGGTCTCACTGATATCGGCAGAGAGAGAGAGACAGAGAAA